CACCCCTAGATTATCCCCTAAACCAGTCAAAAATATTGACCAAAGAAAGGGAGAAAAGAAAAAAAAAAAGGAAAACTTGGTTGCCAAGTGTTGGTAATCCAAGATAGCTTTGACCAAATGAGTTTTCTTTCTTCTTATCTTTCTTCTTGGCTCATTTTTTTTCATTTTTCCTTCATGTTGGCCGAACTCTTGGAGAGAAAAACAAGAGAGGAGAACTTCCAACTACATCTTGAATCTTGCCTTGTTTGAGTTGAAACCACAAAAATAAACCGATTAAACTTGCACCTTGGTGTTTAGGAAATTTGGAGTGGTGAAATTCTTGGAGGAAATTGCTTGGTTCTTCACTTTGTTCAAGTGTTTTGGAAGGTATAAGTCTAAAACTAAGTTTTTCTTTCTTATTCTTGCTATATATAGTTGAGATGACATGAATCTTGGAATATTATAGATGATCTTCTAGTTTTGGGTTGTTTAGTGAAAATTTCAGCTAGAGTTTGCTATTTTAGCCTTGATTTATGTTGTTCAACTATCTTATGTTGGTATGGAGCTTGAATATGGAATTTGTGAGGTGATTAGTGGCATGGTTGTGACTTTTTAGTGTTCAAAGATGAAATTTCTACTTTGATAAGAAAATTTCAGCTTTGGTAGTGGTTGATTATTTGCTAGAAATGACTTATATTTGGATGGTTTGTAGCCTAGATGAAGAGCTATCTTGATATGCATACTTGTGGTGTTTGAATTGGGTTGATTTGAGGAAAACAATGAAGCCTTAAATGGCTAGAAAAATGGATAAATACAAAGGGTATGCTGTCCAAATTTTCATTCGAAAGATAAGTGAGTGAACTTGGAACTTGAACGGTGATTCGGGAATGAGTTGGACTTCGGTTGTCTAGGGTATTCAAGTTTCCTTTTGTAGAGGTATATAAGTTGAATTTTTGCCAAAACTTGTACACTTTAAAAACCGAAAGTAGCGACCACTATAAATACGTTTTCCTCAATAAATGTGTCAAATCACCATGATTCCCCAAATAGATTTGCAATCCAAGAGTTAATTGCAACTTTCATCCTAAATTAAGTACAATACTAGGTGGTGAGACCCCATGTTTGACACGGGGTGCCCCAATTAGAAAGTAAGAGGAGTCATTTTAGTAGAAGTAGCTAATATTTGTAAACATGCTAAGATAATTTACAGATAATACTAAATTTTTTGGTGATTATAAACATGGATATAGAATTGAAATCTCATAAGTGCTAGTTTATCACCAAAATAACAAAAGTAGTTTGTTGTTTGAAGAAAAAGCAATACATGTGTGGTCGCTGTTTTTTGACTAATGATCTCTAGAACTTTTGTGATTTTTTTCTTTTGACTATGGAGCTCAGTCAAGCTTTGGGCGCTTTGTTGTTTTTGTCAGTTCTTCTTCAAGACTTCGTTTGACTGAAAATGAGAGACCTTTGTGGCTATTTTGATCCACTGGCACAACAGATAAAGCTGATGTTGGAGTGGGAGTCAGGGAAAGTTGTCCAGTTGAAGGTGTGCTTTCTGTGGTGCTGTTTTTCAGCAAAGATGGCGAGTTACAGGTAACTCTGATGGCTGTGCTTCAGTAATTTGGCCAGTTACTGGTTGTTGTGGTGGTTTTTCTAGGATGAAGGCTGTGAGGAAAAATAATGGGAGAGGATGTTTTTGAGAAGGAAGATATGATCTCATTTCACAAAAGAAGTTTTGATTTTGCAGTTTTTCATTAATTGTGCTGAAAGGCAATGATTCTCCCTGCAACATTAATGGGATCACCTGTGTTATTGATTTTGTTAGCTAGCGTTGATTGAAATTATATCTGTTTGTATAATTATATCAAAATTAATGTACCTGGAGATGTTTTTCATAGATTTTAGTAGCAGTGCAATCAAGGAGGGTCTCAACATGTATATCATCTACTGTTGCATCGATGAAACCAGTGTCATCATAAACTTGTACATGAAATTTAGCTCTGTAGCACAAATGGTTGTTAGTATATGAGATAGAGTGTATGAAAGGTGTGATGAAAAATTTTAAGAATTTAAAAATCAACTTACTTTGGTTTTGGTTTTGTGTCTTTAAGTCCACAAAAATTGCAATCAAATTCCATATCCATTGGAGCACCAGTGATTTTGTTGCTGGCAGTACATGTTGCAAAGAAAAAACATTGATTGTAATTGATGATTCTAATCTTCCCATTGACCCAAAAGTTTTTTTTATCTAATTCAAACAAAGTTATATTGATGTTAGTATAATTGAGTCAATGGTATTATAAGAGTAATAAGATGTGGAGTTGATAATGTAGAGGATTAGTGGATATATGTCCATGATTTACCAGATTCGATGATGCAAAAATTTGTGCAATCAAGCGAACTTTAGTGCTAACTGGTGTAACTGTTTTTTGTTTATTTTTTTCATGCAGTCTCTCATTAATGACTCTGTGAATGTAAGAAATGTTTCTTCAACCCTGTGTTAGTAAACGCAAATGTCAGTGTTAATCTGGATAGTTTGGAAGAGAATTTTCAATAAAAGAGAATAGTATGTGTATGTGAAAACATACCATGTTTTGAGGGCAGCAGTCTGATGTAATGGTGGATCCAGAACAATTGTGCTATTTGGCCTAGTGCTAATATCAATTCCTGATTTATTGTGCAGAGAAAGTAAATTGAACTATATTTATTTAAGCTAAATGGAAATAGTGTTAGTTTGATTTTATTGATATTTTTACCATGATACGTGGTGATTCTGGGTCGTAGAATCAAAATTGTTGGATAGGTGTGGATTGTGTTTATGAGTTCAACACCTTCGTAGTAAACGTAAGGTTCCCACATTGTGAATATCATTGGTCTATATCAGCAAAATTCAATATATGGGTGACAGAGTTGAATGTAAATCTTAAGTGGCTTCTTGATATGTGAAATCTTGTGTAGGGAAATTTATGTTGGAGTTTTCAGAGTTAAGATGATGAGATACTTACTCAGGATTCACAACTATGAATCTTCAGATTCTACGTTGTCCTCTTGCAGTACTAACTACTTCTTATGGGAATGCATGGATTGCTACACATAAGATATCTGCATGATTAGAATATGTATAGCAGGTTAGTGTATAGCATTTATTGTTTATGACTTTTTTTATACTGAATCTATCTGCATCACTATTCTTGTATTTGTCAAAGACTGTAGAATAGAGTGGTAGGAAAGTGTTCCATTAGCTGAAGTGAGTCTGTTTGGTTGGCTTTTTTGATGAAGGTAGCCTTGGTCAGTGTTAACTGGAGTGGAATGGAGCTAGCTTGGTTTCTTGCATCAGTAATTAGCACAACAGCAGCATTAACAATGTAATAGGTCTCATAAAGCTATAATTTGTCATGGATGTAATTGCCATCTCTATTAAATGCAATTGCTTGAATTGATTCATGCTGTCAAAACAAGAGAGAAAGCGGGAAGTCAATGAGGATAAATGAAAATAGCTAACTAAAAAAAAGGGGAAAGTCAATGAAGATAAATCAAAGTAGGTAATTGAATGAGTAAAGGAGATGTTCACGGAGCAGTCATTGCAGTGGGAGTGTAAGTGGTTTGATGGTAAAATCATAATTTTTGATAAATGAGTTGTTTAGAATGACAATTAATGATACGGGAAATATTAAAAGTAATAGCAATGTGTTTTGGTGCTATAAGGTAAATGGAAATATGTTTCTAATATGTTCATCTGAAAACATCAGTCTGATGGACCAAAAGCTTTGATCCTTTCCTAGGTAGATTGGTGATTTTTCAGTGACAATCACCTTGATCATCCAATCCTTTGTTTCATGAGTCAAACTATTAACATGAATACATCTGTCGACCATAGCTACATGATATGAAATATATAAATCAGTGAAGGCAATTAATAGCAGTGATGACTGAAAATTATAAGATATGAGCATGTTAAATATAATGGACAGAGAAGAATGTACTGGAAATAATTTGGATGCAAGCACATATAAATTAATTGCAAAAGGTATGATAAGCAGAGTGAAAAATATCAATACTCAAGTAACTGTTGCAGCTACAAGTATTTCTTGAGAAACAATGTTTCGAGTGCTATTCTCTGGCATGGATTCAAGGGTAATTGGTCTTAGAAGTATCTTTATTTTTTCTGCAGTTCTTGCCCTTGACATTGCAACATACAATTGGCCATGTGAAAAGACTAGCTCTTTTAAATATATTTCAACAAAATCAAGTGTCTGACCCTGTGATTTGTTAATGGTCATTACAAAATACAGTGAAACAAGAAATTGAGTTCACTTGAGCGGTATTGGATAAAATTCATCATTTGAGCTAGGAAGCGGAATGCGAGAAATAAAACTTGTTTTCCACTGTGATTTCCTAAAGCAATTTGTGCATGAATGAGATTGCAAGCAAAATTCAAACAAATTAAATGTGTTCCATTACACAAACCTTCAGTAGGATTCAAATTTCTCAAAAGAATTATAGGACAATAAGGTTTCAAGATTAACTCATGGGGCGGCAATCCTGATGGCTGGATAGTGTTGAGAAAATCTCCGTGATCAGCTTGTCTTGAGGGGTCAATTGTTTGATCGAAACTCATGTATCTTGTTTCTTGACCAGGAAACCTCTGAATCAAAAGGCTTTTATATCATGGACAAAGTCATTTGTTGTAGTAAGAATGGCCCTATTGATAACACTTGAAGTGTTGTGAATGAAATCAGTGAGCGATAGATAGATGACACTTATTAATTCATCAACAAAAACATCATCATCCACAAAAGGTGTTAGGATTGACAATGGCAATTGAATTTTGCTATCTCCAAATGTTGGTTGCGTGCCATTCCCAATTCTAAGCAGAAGATCAGAAAATTGAGGGTCCAATCGAGCTCACATATTTTTAGTTAGCTGTATTTTTTGCAGATGAGGCCAGATGTCAGAATTGATGAGTGATACAGATAATAATCTTCTTTCTAACCTCTTCGAACAACAGGGAGAGTTTGTCAAAAATTACCACCAAAGACAATGATTTTGCCACCAAATATAATATCCGAATGCAGAATATCATGAAGCATTGTACCGAATGATTCAATTGCATATTTCTTAACTATTGCTGCTTCGTCCCATATAATCAACTTTGCAAGCTTTAGAAGCTTATTGAAGTTGCTTTGTTTTGAGATGTTACAGGTTTGTCTGTTCTCTTGGTGAAGTGGAATCTTGAAACGAGAGTGTGCCATGCATCCTCCAGGTAACAGTGATGTTGTAGCACCAAAGGTTGTTGTTGCTAGTACAATATGACCTCTTGATCTGACAGTTGCAAGCAATGCTTTATACAAAAATGATTTGCCAGTTCCACTAGGACCATCAATAAAGAAGGCAACAGGAACATTTGCATTGACCTTTTCCATTATTTTGTCAAATGCAAATTTTTGTAATCTATTCAACATTGAAATCGAAGCCAAATCTTTGTTAGAAATATGTATTTGGTACTCAACTTCAATTTCTTTGGCAGAGTTGTCTGAGCACAACAGATGATAAGGAATGTCTGTGAGCTTGTAGTCACTTATATCTTTTTCCATGATTTGGATATGTTGGTCAATGAGTCTGAGAACTTGAATTTGCACTTGTTGCTGTGATAATGCCAAATTCTTTTTAATGTCTTTTGATAGATAATTCTCAAATTTCAACAAATGGTTCTTGGATTTGTTGGTGGATAGTGTACCAGTAAGATAGCAAAAAGTTGTCTCAGGGAACTTAGCATGTTGTACACAAGTACCTTAGATAAACATACATCAAAACCATTGTCTGCTTGGAGTAATCCACGAAGTTCTGCTGCTTCTTTGTATGAGGATGCTAGGTGAGCATCAGCAGATTTTAAGTCATCAAAAGAGGTTGGTTTTCTTACATGCATAAGCAACATTCTCAGGTAGTATCTTTCTTCTTCAATGGGGTGTGCTGTGTTAACATGGCTAATGACCTCTCCGCGTTTTCTGTCAATCCATATTCTGTCACCTTCATCCCAAGTAAAGTATCGGGGAAATTCTTTATACAGACAATTGAGATCCTGTGCTCTTTTATTTGTTCGATTCATAGAGAAAAATTCTATTAACATTGTCGTTGAATTTCTCTCATTGGCAAGAATATCCTGTAATGTCTGATTTTCAGTAAATGATATAGACTGATAATTTTCCAAATGTAAGTGCATTGTCATTACTGATGGATGAATGTTGGTTAAATCAAATGCAAATATCCTCCACATAGCTTCAAGAGCACATATCCATCTAGCAGATTGAAAATTATGAATCTCATCAATGATATTTTCTGCTTGTTAAGCAGTGATCTGATACATAACCTTGTTGTGCCCTTTGTAGATGTACTTGTAAATATATTTCACTACTTCAATAGCAGAGCATATCTTGACATTGATGTGGCAGTCAAATTTTGCAAGTAGATATGTATTATATGGGACAACCCACAGATTATCAAGTGCATGATTTCTGATAACAACATTTCTTCCATTATTGCGCCTTCTGTAAATAGGATAGGAGTTTTTTGCATGTTTAATGTATGCAAAAAAATCTTTTGGATAGTTATTTCTACACTTGCTATTCTGACGCATACACGGGCTATTTGGATTTAGTGCATCGCATGGTCTATGAAGCATATGTTTTATTAGCAATGAATATAAATAGGATGACTCTTTTGGATCTGGTAGCTCTGCACAAACAATTCTATCATATGTTTCAAGTGAAAACATCTTCGATCTTTGTTTGAGGATAATTAGGAAATGAGCATGTGGCAATCCTCGTTTTTGAAACTCGATCACATAAGTATAAGCTGCAACTTCACCAAAGAGATTTCTCTTGAACAAATCATCTTTTAATTGTTCAATTTTTGCTCGAAATACTCGAGAAACTAAATCTGGTCTATTTTGGATTTCATCTTCATCCGCTAAATGTTTTTTTATCTTTGGCTAGGACAGATTGCGTGTCATTGTAAGAAAGATGTCAGATTTTCCATACCGTTGAACAAATGATATGGCATCCATATATCTCTGACACATGTCTCTGGGACGTTCTATAAAACTTGCTGGAAGAATAATTCGTTTTCCAATGTTTGATCCCAAAGTCTCACTATTTGTCATACTATCCATCAATCCTTGATAAACTTCAGTTCTCAAGTGTTGCTGCCTGTTTCTGTGAAATTCCAACCATGATGTCTCTAGCTTAACATATGTTTCTACTGAGTACTGCTGTAGCAGTCATCCTATGTGTAATAGATTTGACTCATCACCATTTCTTATTTGAAACTTGTATGCATAATATTCACGGCAAGATACTGTTGGTCTCTTGGTCTTCTTTTTTTTGGTCACTGTCAAAAATGGGTGAGAATATGAATTAGAAACTAAAAGCACAAAAGTAAGATATAAGTAAATGTGCGTCAATGTTTTGGAATTGTAATTAGTTGTAAGAACTAACACTATCAAGTTGGAATTGAGTAGAAGGCAGCAAAATATAAATAAATGTGAGTGAGTGTTTTGGTACTATGATTAATTCTACAATTGTTATTAATACCTTTTTCTTCTGTAGATATAACTTCATCTATGTGTGAGCAATTCTGGACTGAGACAATGGTTTCTTCCTAGCATGTTGCACATGATTGGTTAAGAATATTCGATTTTGGTATCCGTAGTATACCTTTATGCCATCAAGTTTCACCTCTTGCAAATATAAGTGGATACTGGAGTGTATCATAACATCCATAGCACTGTTTTAGTATACGCTTGCTTCCTGCCTTTATGAAGATCTGGATATTTCTAGTGCCGTCACCAGTGCTATGATCATTTTCATTCCGTATTGCTACTATTTGAGACACTGCAGGAAGGTTGTAGACTCTTTGATCCAAACCTGGATCTAAATTCAAGAAAATTTTATAATCTTCAAGATTATGAAGGTCTACCAAACTTCTTATGAAAGTGGAGTAAGGATTATCATGAAGAATGTCTTTAAGCTACTGGACAATGGATTCTCTGAACTTGCTAGAAATTGCCATCTGATCTGCTATCTCATGCTATGTATCATAAAAATATAATTGCAAGTTCGCTGCTTTTTCACCTTTAGAAGGAACTAATGGGTTGATGAAGTGATAAATCTAGCCTTGTACCCTGAATATGTATATACCTTTATTCTTTCTACTTAAATCTTTGTCATAATGAACGCCCAAGGATGTATAGGCAAACATATTGTCGTAACTTCGGATGCAAAATCAAAACTCTCTAGCTTCAGGAGAATTTGCCTTATAAAGGTGAATAATTTATCTGGCATTTGAGTTTCTGCTAAGTGAATTTTGCCCGCTGAACAATAGAATCTTAGTGGCTCCATATAAAATCGCTTAGCACGACAAAACATATAGTCTGGAACCTCTGGCAAAACACTTGGCTGAAGTGGTATCTGTTCTAATAATGGTATGTTTCTTCTTGGGTGATGCAGACCTATACGATATGAAATACAGGTGCTTCTAACTAATAGAAAGAACAAAAAAAATGTAAAGAATCCAAGACGAGCACACACACACATTTGCATGCATAAATTTAAAATATCTAGTTACCAGTTGGACGCTGCGGATTGCTGGTTGATGGACAGCCTTGAGATAGAAGAGTTGAGGGTAGAGGATAACAAGATCACAGAAGAGACCGCAATACAGAAGAAAGCATTCATAAGAGAATGAAACTAATGGTTGTTAGCATATACTAATCAGAGAGAACAGTATAGCAGATAAAATAATTAGTAAGCCTACCCAAATCTAGCGCTGAAGAATGGTGTAGGATATTAGTTTCAAAAGTGGTCGAAGGAAGGATATTATCAGAAAGCACACAGTCAGTTGCTGCAAGAACTGTGATAGAGCAAAAAGAAAAATTGGTAATTTGTGAGTTTTCATAGGGATTTAATAGCCAATATAGAATAATGAGTTCAGGAATCTGAAGAATACTCTGATCAATAGCATCATTTGTCGAGTTTGAATGCATGATTGATTGATCAAAAAGGTCAACAACTGGCATTTGAAAGCACATACACTTGGCTTTCAATAGAGCTAAAAGTGATATATGATTATCAATAGGAACATCAACAAGCGTATGATCTGCTGGAGAAATAGGCATAGCATGTGTATTGCGGCTGTTTTTATTTTGATGTTCAGTAGCCTCTTGTATTTGTTTCTATTTTTCTGCTACTTTCTTAGCATATCTTTCTCATCGGCGCTGATTAGCTCGTATAAGACGTTCATCTTTAGAAATATATTTGCGCTTTCGGCCGGAAGATGACTCTCCATAGCAAAAGCCATACAGTTTATAATAGATGCGATAGCAAAATTTTCATATTATAAAGCAGATAACAACTCTAACAAAGAGAATTCATACAACAGGAAGAGAGATAAAAACATTATGGCAATAAAAAGTGTGAATGACAAAGATATGTAAATGACACAGAAGCAAAGCCACATGATGAAAGCAAATTATGCAGCTAGGGGACGAACATGCAAAATTTAAATTTAAAAGAAATGCAGGTACCTTTAAAGTGGTGTAGGAAAAGTCCACAATGCGAATTAGACAAAAGATAGCTGATGCAAAAGAGACATAAAAAAAACAATGTCAATATCTTAAAATGTTATGCAAACAATAAACAAGTTTCAACATCAATATTGTATATATCACCTCTAAAAAATAGAAAATGCAATGGATAAGTACTTTTTTGCATTGATTATGATTATTTGTATATGCATTGGCTAGCAAAATAGAAGAGACCAAAGCGGAGGAAAGTAGAGGCAAAAATGCGAAAAGCTAACTAATGAATAAAAGTAGAAAATATTTGAATTCATAGTGTTAGACTTACACCCAAGCAGTGGATATTTTATTTATATAGATGGGAACTAATAGAAGCAAATAGCATAGAGGAAAAGATTAAATAGCAGTAAAACGTAAATATGGAACATAATGAGAAATAAGTATATTTGATAAGGAAAAATAAAATCCAGTAGAGAAATGATACAAACAAAAAATTATAAGGGCACTGTAAAAATATTGCAGAATTAAAAAACAATATCAAATAAATAAAAGCTAAAACACAAGATTTTGGTTGCATGTCTCAGAAACTTAAATGGTAAAAACACAGGCAACTACAAGGGTAAAACAAAATGAGAAACAGAAACTAAAAGCAAGCGTACTTGCAGAAGGAGAAGCTGCAGAATATTAATTCATGAGCTAAAGTGCGTCATGGTAAAATGATTAAGAGCAGAAGCAAAGGGTGGAAAGGTATAAAAATACTATGACAGGGAAATGGAAGAAATGTTCAACAGTTTAAAAATAAGAAGGAAAAGAGATGGCGAGACCTCATAAAGCTAGCTAAAATATAGAAAGAAAAAGCATGCACACAGAACACAATGTAGATGAAAGAGTTCATCAGCAAGAAAAAGCATGCACATAAAAGAAAACGCAGATGAATGAGAGATTAATAGAAAGAAGCAAAATAGTTGCACTGAACACATTTAATTGTGGATGACAGCAGAACATTCCCATGAATATAAGAGTAATTACACTCATTAAAAGCAATCAATTGGAAAACACACAATAAATTGGTGAACGACAAAAGGGAATCAGGGTGATTTAGAGAAACTAACAAAAAGGTCAGAGCAAATAAGATGCAGACAAATCACATCTCTAGACTGCGATGTGGGTATGCAAAAAAAATTTAGGAAAGAAAAAATTAAGTGGGGATAGAGTAGCACAGCGAAGTAGAAAGACATTAAGACAGTAACTCACCAGTAATAGAAAGGAAAACAAAAGGTAGGACGCAAGCAAAACAAAAGAGCAGAAGGTTTCTATGGTTTTAGTAGAAAGAAGAAGAAGTAGATGATAGAAAGAAAATCAGTGAGCGGCCTTGATCAGCATGACCAAGACGGTGGAAGCTTTGCCAAATAGACTAATCCAATTGATAGGAAAAGTCAAGAAAGAAATTAAAATGGATCAACAACAGAGAAGAAGATGGATAATGGGGAAACTTCACATCAACATTTAATGCAGATGAGATGAGATGGCTGAAATCTCAAATGCAATAAGAGTGAAGGATAAGCTCAAGATAACTGGCTATCCATGCAAAATAGATGCGCCATGCATGCACTGTATACTATTAACGAATTTTATATAAAGAGGTGTTTAGC